CCTGCTTTTCATATCATCTTCCTCCTCTCAATAGATGGCAACTCCCTTTTTTTAGGGCCTCAAGCCCACATTTCTGAATAACCCTTGCCTTCTCTCTTCTCATACTCCACATCTAATGCATTAGCAAATCCCCTTGTATGTGTCCTCAACATCCATCTAAAAAACAATCAGATCTCTCCACCTAAACCACAAAAACTCAGCTCCAAGGCACCATCAACATTCATTAAGGTTTTTGTCATTATCCTTCTAAACATTCTTGTTTCTATATTTGATGCCTACAATTTATTTTCCATGTAGCAGAGGGAAGTCTTTTTTTAAATGTACATCATATCATGCCACACTTCTTCATAGGGAAGTGAAGACTTTACAGTGGCCTATAAGGCCCTACTTGTTTTAAACCCTTGTTACTTCTTTGATTTCATTTCCCTGTTACACATCCAATCTTCACTCCTACTCACAGATCTCCTTGCTGGATGTCAATCAAACATGCCAAACATGCCTCTCTATTGTGACTCTTTTCACTTGCTATATTTTATTAGCTTGTCATAAAGATTTAAATAATCTAGCAACTTTTTGAGCACAATGCCTGACACATAGTAGGAACATAATAATTACTTGTTATGACATTTTATAACAGAAACTGCTATTATTTTTAAATGCCTTAGTCCTATTAGGTAAATGAGTACAATGATGACAACATCAATGACAAAACTAATAAGAATATGTTCTTCTGGATTTAAGTGAGGAAATATGATGGATTAGCATGAAACAGTGGTCCATAACCTATAGAGCATTATACAAATCCTAGTAATTATTTAAAGCTTTAATATATTCATTAAAATTACTTTTTTCATATTACTAAAAATGTATGATTATGTGTTTTGGTGACTGAATGTGTCACAGTTACAGATTTTATGACATATTTATGTTAACATGTCACCACACTCTTCCCTTCTCTCCTTCCATTCCAATCCCATTATCTAATTGTTGAGCATGTTATCTGATCCCGTGTTTTTTTTCCTCTTTCCTCTAGCAATTATTCTGTTGATATTTTGGAAGTCTCTATCATCATTGTTCACTTTACTATTTCTCAGGTCCACTTTACTATTTCTCAGATTCTATTTTCTTCTAATATAATTTTGAGGTTTCTCAACCAGTGTTGGATGTCAGGATTTGGAGTTTGTTGCCATGGAAACTGTTTCAGCTACTTGCCCACAGGAGGGAGCCCTCTACCTGTTAAAAGGTAGGCTGGCAGCAGCAATATTTTTGTTTAGGAAGAAGACAGTGGAGAAGGGGTCAGTTAATAATAGAGACACACTTGGTTTATTTTCACATAGGGGGCATCTCCTACTGGTGACAGTGTGGCGTCTGGCACATTCTCTAGACCAGTGGTTCCCAAACTTATTTGGCCTACCGCCCCTTTCCAGAAAAAATATTACTCAGCGCCCCCTGGAAATTAATTTTTTTTAAATTTTAATAGCAATTAAACAGAAAGATATATGTATTAATGTTTCTACCTTTTTCGTAAAATATAGTAAAGAAAGGTGTAAATTAGAAACATTGAAGTTTGAAATTATGAAACTATTTATTGAACTCAGAATAGAAAGGTAATACAAAAAAAGTTAAAACAAATGCACCTGTGGCCATCACCGCCCCCCTGGATCGCTGCAGCGCCCACCAGGGGGCGGTAGCGCCCACTTTGGGAATCACTGGTCTAGCAAGTGCAATGCCAGGTTTCACAAGGAGAAACAATTTGGAGGCAAGCTTTTCCCCTGCTGCTTTTTTCAAGTTCTGACCCACACTTTCCCAACATTCAACATCTAATGTGCCCTCTTCAGGAAACCAAGGATTATGTTCCATAATAATATGCAAAAACTGTAAGAGAATACCTTCTGACACTTTAATTCCTTTATCCTTGAGCATGTTACTGGTTCAGCTGTCCGGGCCCCATCTTATTTCCAAGTTCTTGGGTGAGGTGCTCGCTGTGTCATTTTTAGTGGCACAGTTTGAACCTGGCCCTGAAGGGGGAGGAGTGGGCACTGCTGTTCCAAGTCCCCTCACCTGAATACAGGTGTTTGGGGTTTGTTTGTTTGTTTGTTTGTTTACCAGCCTTCCCTGCTGCCAGAGAGCTGGCCGCCCCCTGCCCTGGCACAGTTGGTCTTGTCAGACTAGATCAGTTCCAGCTCTTTTAGAAGCAGTGCTATCTCCCTCTGTTCAAATTCCTCGCCCTCAGCCCAGAGCCTGGCCAGTTGGGTGAAGCTCAAGGGGTGATGTAGAAATTGGACAGTGCTCCTTTAAGGCAGGTATCCAGGAGGGGAGCCTGGGTACCTATTGTGGACACAGCCCTGAGCTGCTGGAGCTGTAATCCAGGCCCAATTAGCAGGGAGCCAGGCAAGGTTTTTGTTTAGCTTAGCAACCGCCCCCGCGTCCTGGAGGCCCATGGGGGTAACCCCGCCACCGGAGGCCCCACCCGCACCCTCAGCCCGCGGTGGCGCTGGCAGCTGCGCACCTGGGCGCTGGGGGTTCAGGGCACCAGGACAGAGAGGGACAGAGGGTGCCTCAGCCCCGCGAGCCATCTGGGCGTCGGGAAGGTGGTCTCCAGGGCTTCAGGGCTGAGCGCCCAGAGACGCTCCTCTGCGTGGGGAGCGCACTAGAGGCCCCAGGGGGGACCCCGGCAGACAGGAACCCCAGGATCCCCACCCCGCCCCGCCTGGGGCTGCCTCCTCGGGATCCTTGCGAGCAGGGGTGGATGGAGCCCCGAAACCCGGCTCCCCGCGGTCTTGAGGTTCCAGCAGCAGCAAGGACAGCATTTCCAAGTCTGGGCCATGAAGGTCGCCGTGTTGGACCTCGGGTCTCTCTTTTCCAAAATCTTCAAGACCTCGACAGCGTCCCCAGCGTCCCCGGCGGTCCCCTCCCCGGTTGTGTCCTCCAGCAAATCGGAAGGCGCTGCCATCGCAGGGCCAGTGTGCAGAGCGCTGAGCACGGCCCCCACCCTGTCCCTCCTCCCCGCCTTGGTGCCTGACTCCCCCTGCACCCAGGGAGCCCCCTGCTCTGCTCACCGCCTCCTACCCCAGGGTCTCCGTCGTCGCCAGCCGCGCGGTAGAAGCCCTAGGGACCCCCTCTTCCCTGCCCAGTAGCCCCAGAGCAGCCAAAGTCCAGTCCCTGCCCCAGGACCTGCCCCTGGCCCCGTGGGGTGGTGGCTGCAGAGCCCAGAGCTCCCCAGCGCACCTGGGGGCGGGGACGCGGTCAACCCCAGGCCCTGGCGGGGTCTGGCAGGCTCTATGTCCTTTTACATCAATAACATCCAGTTCTTCTCCCAAGAAATCAGTGTCATGGTAAAATGGAGTGCGGCAGATCACTGGACAGCAAATCACACATCAGAGACACAAAACCTTAGCTCCCATCAGTCTCCTCAGAAAAAAGTGATCTCAACCAGAAGAAAGTGTTTTCATTGTTTACCTGGGATGCTGTGCCTGCAGCTTTGTGGACTGAAACCAGAAATAGCTCTGTTCTCGTGTACTTGGTAACCCGCTTTTAGATGTTTTGAGGAGACAAAGATTTCTAATGGTCAAAAAGGGAAATATATATGAATCATGTAAAACATATTAAAGAAAAATAACATTTTCACAGCACATA